ATCGAGTAATTATTTATTACAAAATTTTGACTTTTGTTATGTTGTTAAAACAAATTTCTAATATATTCAGAAAAGATACATAAAAAAATACAAAATTAAAATTTTTATCTAAATATTTCATAAAATTGTAAAAATGAAAGTTTTGTACTTTACATTAAATATTTTTTAAATACTAATTACACACGTACTAGAAATAACCATAATATTAATATTTTTAAACAATAATACAAATATTAATTATGAGATTTTTAACCTACTCCAACGAATTATTAAAAGGTACTTATTTAAATTTTTTGTTCTATATAGTGTAAAATGAGATCCAAACCTCGCGGCAGAATTGAAGTAATATTTCATCACCACCCATTTTAAATGTGGGATGAGTAAAAACGAATATTTAGTGAAATAATCTTGCTTAAATGATTCTCTTAATAGCTCGGCCGGACGTGTTGTGGCTCCCCTAATGACAGTCCTTGCACAATGAGTTATGTCTAGCGACTAATTAATAATTAAGCTGTTCAACTGTTTACTTCCAACGATTAGACCTCATAGATTTTAGTATGATAATTAACGTTTATAGTTTCTCAATTGGAGTTAAATTTACGTCTCCCAGTGGGTTACGCCGCGGATCGTGGCCACCTGATAATGGTAATTAAAATCATTTATAGCGATATTAAAAACTTTCTAATTCAATTTAAATGCCACACACGTTACGCGACAATGGAATTATGAAAAGTCTATTATTCGGTTAGCCACGTGAGCTTTTGGCATAAACATGGGCACACAATAGTGAAGAACCCACTAAAAAGCTAATATGTCAATGGGGGATAGACTGTTGCACAACAATATGGCGTTTTGTGTGCATTGTCATGCGTGTATAACTTTATTAAATGATTCCCGTGGAGGATTGATAGGATACAGGACTTAATGTGGGTATTCTTAGATTGAAAAAAATAGCTAATAGCAATAAAGTACTTACGTGACATATTTTTAAGTTTCTTTTAGCTGCAAAACGATGTCTAGTTGTTTGTTTGGAATTTGTTTAGTTAATAGGGACAAGTAATTTATAGATGTAACTTAGTTCAATATTATTATTGCTAATAATCAAAAATCAAAAAAGGCTTAGTCAGCATAAATTTTGCAATATAGATACATTTTATAGGGTAACATCCGCTGTCGAATCACATCCGGAAAGGTGACGGCAAATAAAAGCTCAGGCATAATTCGTCATATTATTCATAACTTAAAATCAGTGCAACACGGGCAGATGTAAAAGGATTGCACACATGTCGGCAAGGTGCGTTCATACCTATAATAACGTAGCTTGTGCCAAACTATACTCTAGTAAACAATCTTCAATATCAGAGATGCATCTGTTAGTTATCTTTCACTATTTGGCAATCATCGTGATTTTCATCTCGAATAATACGATGTACGCATATAGGATAGATATGTTATTATCCGAAGATTATCTTAATTTTTTTTCTGTGTTTTAAATTTATTACCTATATATCTATGATATTTAATTCATAAAACAATTCGGTCGTTACTTAGAAGCTGACAAAATATTTACGCTACATTACCATTGTACAAGCAAACAAAAATACAAGAAGAACAGTTTGTGTTTGCTACATTAGTCGTATCAATTTGTAGCATTTATTTTTAATCAGTCTATAAATATGCAGTGCATTACCATAGATGTTAGGTTTATAAGGACTACAAAACGCGTGGCGCGGGTCCTTTTAAAACGAGCTCAATTCCAGTTTAGTAATTAAAGTTACAACTTTATCGATCAAAGAGTTGTTCTCAAGTGTAGCACGGACCACCGGGCTATATCTGCAAGGATTGGATATAACTACTTTAAATATAAATTAGGCTTTCGTAATGGAACTGTCAGCCGATGGCTCCTTGTCTATAATCCACCGAATGAGTTTATTCCGTAGACCTACCCACTTATATGCAGATTCGATCGGCTACACGACGAACAAATACGAATAACAGACCATTAATTTTATAAGTTAAAGACTGTGGACATGTACGTTTCAGTTTTTTTTTGTCTGAACTATTTCATACTTAGCGGCAATGTCTGCAATACATGATTTATTGTATTTATATATACATCTGTGTCGACTGTATTTGTGCGATATATTTCAGTTTTTGTTAATTTGTTGGTTATAATGCAAAGAAATAAAAAAAATATGATTATGATATATTGATAATTAATACTATGAGTTCTACACTCATATTTTTTGACTATGGTTAGTTAAAAAATGTTCTTAGATAGAATTTCTATTTATCTTTTAATAAATTGGTCCTAAGATATACGTAAGTAATCTTTGCCATCCTTTGTCGTGTGGTTCCAGCATGCGCAGCATCATCCTTCTTAAAACATCATCAAAGCCTAAATGCGGTTGCCAATCTGCTTGCCAAGCGTGGCAACTATTGGCAAAGTTGGCGAAGCCCCCCTTATGGAGGAGGCCCATATTCAGCAGTGGATAGTTGACGGTTGATATAATAATAAAATAGAATTCTTGACTAAGATTATGTGTGTGAAATGGGAAAAAATGTGAAATGTGTTTTTTTGTTACCTTATAGCGCTTTTACAGCTTAATCATTCACTACGAAATTTTATCCTGGTCAGTAAACATATCCCTGTCACGCAAACGAATCCGCGAGTACAAAAAATAGTACTTTATAATCTAAAAGCGTGTAAATCTATGATGCTCAATCAAAAAGTATTTCCATTATATTTTTTATAACGGGCCCCATTCATGTATTGTTAGTTTCGTTTTAAAATCGCAAAATATACAAGTTACAAAGGTAGTAATTATCAGTTATGGTTCCGTTCGCTACTCATAGGCTTTGTGTATCGTAGATGTCTCTATTTTGCGATTTTCTAAGGTGTGGGCTGGCTAAATGTTATTTGACGATCGTATTGAACGCACGCCCGTGGCGCTATTGTAACTTCACATTATCCTTCGAAGTATCACTCCCACAATTTTATTATTTGCGCATTCACTTGCAGGAAGGTGATGTGAACTAAAATGATGGATTGGTCTAATATTCGTGGGGACTCAATTGTACACGTGAGAAGTTATATGACTCTAGGGATATGAAATTGATGATTTTTAGGTAAATTTAGGCAATTTATAATGTTATATTGTATGTGTATATATTTTTAAATAATCGTTAAATATCAGTTTATATTGCAACATGAAAAAAACTACAACGTATATTTTACCATGATTATGCATAATGTGACATACATATAATAAAAATATTTTTATTATGTAACATGTTCCATAATTAATAAAATGTTTACCTAATTTCGTTTAATACTATATAGATATAGGTACATTAGTTAATGCATTTTTTTATCAGTAAGTTGCTATAGGATTTTATTTTCACGATACCGGTTTGAATGACGTAAACAAAGCAACAGCAGGTAAGCCAAAGAGAATCAATGGAACAAAATTAAATACGAATTGCTTCTTAGAGGCGACAAGGAGTCTATTAAAATCATGTTTAGCGTCCCCGTCAATGGCAATGATTGAAGGCTCCTAAACAATATATTCTTTTCAGTGTCTCAATGGCATGGCCCACATTCTTGTGTAATCTTTTTATATGACAATAGCAAGTCCTTCACTATTGAAAGACCGTGTAAAATACTGAGAGCTGTTCGTTCTAAATTAATGTAATCTTTTTTCAATATTCAGCGAATGGATGCCGCCCAGTGTGCTGGTTGCTTTGACCAGGGTACTCGCAATTTAAAGAATTCTATATTTAAAAACAGACCTTATTTCATTTGTTATTGATTACATAATTGATTGCGGTTTATTGTAGTGTATTTATTATAGGTATTACTATTGGTCACAGTGTCTGTTGTAAACAATGCAAGTGGTTCGTTGTTTAATTTCACTTTGCAGACCGTAATAAATTTTCGATAGTATTATGCGCTGTAGGGATTCCACTTGCATCTGAAAGTATATGCAACCCATTGAATTTGACTTTAGCGCCATCATTGTTGTTATTAAGAATTTTTGGTAAATCTTTGTAAACGTTGAAGTTTCTTGCTTTATATTTTATTACGAATATATATAGTAAAGCGTGACAAAATCTCACTTATGGGGAAGACCTATGTTTAGCAGTGGACAGTTAATTGATATGGTATGTATGGTATACTGGCAATGACTTTTATAATCTTAAAATATTTGATCTTTATATATTACACATGTATAGCGTCGCATGTATGTTTATTACCTATAGTACGAACAATGGGTACTAGATAACTAATACATGCCTATATGTATTTAAGTATATATGTTGATTATATATGAAAGTATTTAGACTAATATAAACAGAACAATTTGCGGATAAACCCTAGTACCTATATTATTATACAAAAGTTAATATTGTGCGGTAATCGAAACGGCAATTAACAAACTCTAAAATAACGTATTAGCGTAGATTAGACATTATTTAAGTACATATCGTCATAGACGTAGAATACTGACGGATCTGACAAATATTACATATATAGATCCATCAGTATTCTACGATTATGACGATATTATCAGTAGTTTGTAAACTCAGTATAGTATAGTGTACATATCTGATGTTAATATGTTTTACGAGTATAATGTTTATTTTTAAAATAAAAAAAAAATTACAATTTTTTTATGCAACCTTGAATGACAAAAAAGCTGACGGCCCACCTGATGGAAAGTGGTAATTGTCACATATAGAGTAAATGGACAGTACTATGGACAATATAAAACAAGAAAAATATTATACAGAGTTAAAAGAAATAACGTTTAAAAATTTAATGATCATAAATATATGTATTTGAAATTCAGACTCAAAATTAAAATCAGTTTCGCTTGGTTTGTGTTTATTTTGCGTCATAGTTTTTACATAACAACTTGTGATAGTCTTTATGATTCTGTTATTTTAATTAATACTGCCGGACCAACATTAAAGCAAGTTTTGGTTTTATTTGGGAGGAAATTGCAACGGGTAGTGTTTGATAATCTTCCTTTAAAATAATATTCATAATTCATATAGCTTCCTGTGAAATTACTAATAATAAATGTACTGGTCAATAAATTCAATGGCACACGTACATAAGATCAAATCCTGCGTTCATTTTGAACCAAGTGTCTCTCAGGTAAAAATTAAAAAAATAATGGAGGGAGGGTTCCCTATCCAATTTTTTTAGGAAAGGTGCGCCCATAAAACGCGGTGTAGGTGCCCGGTGTGCTCATTCATTGCACCGCTCTCGAGAACAAACCTACTCGCTCTATAGTGAAACGCCAGCTATTACGGCAAACGTACGTTACAAAATGCTTAAAGGGATACAAAACGTCACTTACGCCAAAAGTGCCTTACCAAAAATTTTGCCAATTGCCCCAGCACTTGAAAGGAAATGTTTGGATATAGAAACTGAAAAGAAGAGGTACAGCTATACCAACAATCCATATACTGGAGCACAAGCAGCATCAATTGCAAGGAGGAACGCCAGAGAAAGAAATCGCGTGAAACAAGTGAACGATGGATTTAATGCATTAAGGAAGAGATTGCCAGCTAGTGTAATAGCTGCTCTATCTGGCGGCTCTCGGCGGGGATCTGGAAAGAAGCTTAGCAAAGTCGATACACTTAGAATGGTCGTAGAATATATTAGATATTTAGAAACCTTACTGGATGAGAGTGATGCCGCTCTTGGAATACGGAAAGAGGACTCGCAAACTATTACAAAAGATATCATACTACATTATGAAGACGAAGGAATTTTCGGCGGGAATTCACCGTATCCGGAATCAGTACCATCTCCTGTTGGATCAGAGTGTTCTTCTGGTGTGTCATCTGGCTATTCACCTAATAATATCTACTATCCACATTACCATATGACGGAACAGGAAAATCCTATGAACGATAGTGAATTACTGGATGCTATATCTTGGTGGCAAGAAAAATAGTAGATGATAAATTGTAATGTATGAATTCTAGTCATTAATGAGATTTTTTTTTATAAATGACAATACTTTAGTAAAGTATTAAAAGAGTGCTATATATTTCTTAAAATTTATGTAAAAAAATATAAACATTAATTATATCTGTGGCTGTGAAGATTAAAATATAAATATGTAGATAGGTACTTAAATACTCTTTAAAGACTGCTTTTTTCTATGACCTACGTAGATATATAGCAATATTTTAATAAATAATATAATATTGAGTTTATAAGTACGATTGTAAATAAAAATAGCTATGTGAAATATAATCATGAAATCTTGAAAATTTGTTTGTTTTTAACCCTTTACTTATATAGACTATTGTATTTTATATAATTCATATATGTATAGGTATAGGCACATATGGTAGAGTCAATTGATTTACTAATGTGAATATTAAATCATCTAGTATGGAGGTTACTAGTTTAGTTATCAAGAATGGCAATACATGAGGAGTACAATATTATGTATTATTTGTAGTGTTTTTTATGATGGTCGCTATTTTTCACATATGTAGTTGTTAGTTTGTTAAACAAGTCTGCGATTCCAAGTCATTTAAAAAACGTACAGTATAGTAGGTACCTATTCCTACCTACCTATACGACAATAGCCGTGTGGTCCCGGTATAGAATGGCCCATCCTTTCCTTTCTTGTGGGTGCCGTAAGAGACACTAAGGGAACTCAATGGTCGAAGAATAGGCTGCAGCATCCCTCTTAAAATATCACCAAATCCTAACTGCAGTTGCCAAGCGTGGCAACTATTGCCAAAACTCTTCATTATTGGAGAGTCTTATGTTTGTAGTGGACAGTTAACAGCTAAAATGATGATAATGATAATAGATATCTTTTTTAAAACCTAAATAGTTCTGTTCCATCTTTGATAAAACTTTGTAAATAGTTTTCGAATATAATGTCTCGTGATTTATTTCGTATGAAAGATTCAAATATTATTTTCATATTTAGACCCATGTTTCTTAAGAAAATTGGTTCATGAATAAGTATTTATTTTTACCCTTTTTATTTTTAACGTATTGTTTATAATAACTTACACGGGAATAAATTTCTGTTAGTTTTTTTTGTTAATGGATGATAATGGAATGGTAAACTCGCCTGCGCTAACGATATACGCTGGTGGGGCATCAGTGAGGGATGGTAAGTACAATACATAATGAAAAAGCAGGTAAGTTAACCCATCGTGATGAATAAACCTGGAATTCTACACGATGGTTTCCACGGAGAACCGCGTGGAAGTCGACCTGACCGGGTATATTGTTAGCAATTGGACCGGTAGCTCACATTACTAACAATCCCTTCCCCCCAAACTACTATTAATAAATATTGCTAAGGTCTTAACTTTTTTTCGGAAAATTTTATATTGTGAATATTCCATCCATACCACTTTACGGTTACAGTAATTACGTTTATGGAGTAGTTATTAACTAGATTTTGGGACTTACCTATTTTTTTTGTGGTTTACGAAATATTTTTATATTACTTTATAAAAAGTAGGTATTTTATTATCTTTTTTTTTGTATATTTTATGTATTATAATGATAATGTACTATGATACCTTCATTATTTTTTAACTGATATTGATCATTCATTTTTATAATAAAAGTTTACTACCCATATTCATATTAATTTTGTCGCGATTAAAGTAGCTTTTTTGGAGTCTTAAATTATTTTTATAGACTTTCATTAAATACGTAGATTATAATTAAGCTTAAACTACTTACTGGGCTTGAAGCAAGTTTGATATATAGTTAGATCATATCTTAGACAAATATAAAATATTTTATAAACTAATTCAACTAAACAAAAAGAATAATTAAGAGAGATATAGCTAGTGTAACAATAAGACATACTTATGTGTATCATATATGCCGTGTGGTCCTAGTGTCGTAAATGGCGACTAAGGAAGCTTAACGGTTGGGAGGTGGGCAACAGCGTCCTTTTAAAATTTAACAAAGCTTAACTGCCGTTGCCAACCCGCCTGCCAAGTTTGACAACTACTGGCAATCCCCCCTTATGGGGGAAGTCTACGTTCGGCAGTAGACAGGTAACGGCTGATATAATAATATATGGTAATAATTTGTACTATATGCATACCCTTTATACTGTCTCTTTATTTTCACATTCCTTGCATTTATCTTCAAAGATACCAGGACCGTTACATTATAAGGCCTTATCTCAGTCGCGAATTAAGATTACAATAAAAGAAAATAATGGTGTCAACTTTATCGCATTCAGTGTTGATTAAGCCGTCGAAGCGCATACCCTGCTTCAGTATATTGTTATACAAGATTAATGGTGTTCCCCGAGATAACAGGGTGGGAGCTAAATGCATTTACATGTGCGAAGAAAAAGACTCCGATAATGGGACAAAGAAGTTCGCGATGACTAAAACGGTACCATTAATGTAGGTACACACGGTTTGAGAGATCTGAAAACAAAAATTAATTTTATGTGAAATTAATCATCACGTTCCTGCTCTTATTACAATTATTTGGGGTAATAGAATTTTATTCATATTACACTAGGTTTCGGTTTTCGGTTTTACAACCGACTGCTTGTCTGATGTGAATAAATGTGAATGTCCTTGAGAAAAGTATAGCAGAAGGATTAAAAAAAAAATGGTCTTAAATGATTTACCAGAGGGAGACTTTGTACAAAAGTCGATTGCTTGGGTACCTCTGTCCCTTTCGTGTTCCTACCGTGAAGCAGTTGTGTTTGCATGGCTGTGTTTCGGTTTAAAGGGTGGGATATGGCGTGAATTTACAGGGTACAGAGGAATAACATCTGTGTCCTCAGGAATGGTAACGCATAGGGGGTATCATGGGCGAAACAGTATACTCTGTTATGTTCATGGTACTGCTCATGTCTATAGGCGACGGTTACGGTTTGAAGGGTGGGATATGGCGTGAATTTACAGGGTACAGAGGAATATCATCTGAGTCTTTAGGAATGGCAACGTATGGGGGTATCATGGGCGAAACAGTATACTCTGTTATGTCTATAATACTGCTCATGTCTACAGGTGACGGTTACCACTTTCCATCAGGTGGGCCGTCAGCTTGTTTGCTATTCTAAGTTGTATAAAAAAAATATCTAAAAGCACAAAAGTATATATATGTCTTCAATTTTGGATTTTAATTTTTTTGGGTTTGATCAATAGTTATTGGCATACAAGTATATATAAAAATATTGAGTGATTTATCCTAAGGAATAGTAGACTGAAACGATAATACAAGTCAAATAAATAAGCTAATACGAATCAGCTAAATAGTTCAAAGATACGATAACGGATGAGATAGGAAGATTGTCTACAGCTAGATAGAAGATTCTCGATTGCTAAGGCAGCAAATGTTATGGCAGTCCTATATAGACATACCTAAATATATTACACGAAGTCCATAGATGCTTAATATTGGACAATCTTGTATTGATAGTACTATAGAAGTAGGTTAAATAGTGAAAAATAAAAGGACGAACTGATAATGAAGATTAATTAAATGATACGTTCTCATTGGTATATGTGGTAAACAATATAAAGTTCATGTACTCTATATACTATATGAATATTCTGATATTCTCTGATATAAGTATCCGTGTGTCCATAGTGCCTATCCGATTTATAAGTACGTTTGCAGATTGAACTTTACGATTATGGAAAAACTGATACTCAGGTATTGGTAATTGAGGCAACTAATGCTGGTTAGTTGCTTTATCTAATTGTAAATAATGATTAAGTGATATATATTAAATTAAATTCTATGATTTTATGTTCAAGGTCAATTTTGAGAATATTTATTTAAAAAATCGTAATAAGTTTAGTTTTATTTATTTATAGATGGACAGTTGAATATTAAAAACGTTCCAAAAATCATCAGCTTTAATAAATTATGTGTTTTGGTTAAAACAAAACAAAGCATATAGCAAGAATAAAAAAATTAAGATTGTTTTTAGAAGCGTTTGTAGAGAAACAATGGAGACGTAACAAGACAGAAATATGTACATATTATTCACAGGTACCACAATGAAAAATAAAGCCGTCAAATTGAAAAATTCTAATATCTAATAATGATTACTAAAAATTATTCTTTTTTATCTGCAATAACACGTAAATCAAAACATTCTCGCCGGACTGAGTACAACATTGCAACGCTTCACTTTGACTTTTAGTTTAGAAAAAAGTTGCTACGGTTATGATTATATTTTTATTTACAAAATTTAAAAATTTTAGAGTATTGCTGTACTGGTGATGGTTCAATACATTTATTGCATTTCACTTATTACTAAGAATTATTATTGATTTTCTCAATAAAGCACTGCGTGTGCCTCTATTCATGTATAAAGATTAACTTTATGCATTCGATCTCCCGATAAATATTGGATTCCCATTTTGCTTTATTTGTTTCCGTTTTGTTGGTAACTGCAAAAAATTGCATAAAGTATCGAAACAGAAAGCATTTTATGTGAATTCCGGAAACAGTTTAAAATGCATTGCTCATTTCTTTTTTGTTAAAGTAATCTTATTACACGGGGCACGTGATCTTTGTTCGGTTCGTGATTTTTGGCAAAGGTGAACGATAAGCTATCGAAGAAACTGAATTCACAGTTCTATTATCGAAATTATTCATCATTGCCCTTTGTAATGTAATTAAAATATAATAAGAGCATACAACCATATATATAGAATCAAATATATCAATGTATCACGCTAATTATCTTCATAAATTTAGAGATGTAAATTAACTTACTAAATTTATAATATTTATTAACCTAGAATACAAAACATCAGTATGTTAATATATGCTTCAAACACAAGTAGCCATTTATGTGTGATAAAATAACAATCATCTAAATATTTTACATATTTTTACATTACTGGTAGAATTGATGGTGCTTTGAATAATAATAGTTTTATAATGTTTTATTTGGAATTATTTTCATTCTGTATTTATGATTCAAGTATTCTTCCTATAATTGTAATAGACTGTTAATGAACTTTTAATTCTTTAGCTACTACCTGAATTATCAGAACTTAAGATATCAGTTAAAAAATATCTATAAAATATTTATTACAGCGTTTATAGGAAACTTAGATAACTATTGTAAATATCAATTGTATTTAACAGAAATAAATGAATTTATGAATTTAAAACCTACTAATATTATAAATGAGAAAGT